GGCGGGCGCACCCGCACTCTTATCTCGGCCCAGGCTCTGAGAACTGGGTTAGCCAAGGTACTCGTAGAGCTGCCCACAAATCTGCTCTTGAAACAACTCAGTTTTTTTAGTAGAAGGCGATTCAATCGAAATCCGGAAAAAAATCCTTTTTTTTTGTCTCTTCCGCTCAGCTCAGGCTATACTGGAGAAAAAGATGAATACAAAACTTCAAAACTTGCATGTTAATGCAAAAACGCTTTAAGTCGCAATAACCAGCTTTTCAGATGAGTCTCAAAGATTGTGAAGAACTTGGATGAAATTCAGCAGTCCTATATTTCCCTCCCAACATTAAATCAAGTCCAGAGTCCTTCAAGATCATTTTCTTTCTACAAATGCAATAGCTTAAGTAGCAAAATAGTAAATAATATGAATTCTTACGCCTTAGCTTGGATTGAATACTGACTTTTAGGTCAGGTGTAGTTGTAAAATAATATTTCGTTTGTCTGTAACGTTTTAGGTCTCTGTTTATCTCAAATTCCCTTAAAGTAAAAGCAGTCATGCTTCATGTTATGACTTCATGGCTGAATAATGCAATACTTGATTTTATTGCAGTTGTAAAATACAAGATTTTTGTGACCCCTGTGGTAAATCACGCTGGAAGCTCAGCAGCTCCAGTGCGACTAGCTGTAGCGTGACCGCGCGCGCGGTTCGAGGGCAAAGGGACCGGGGTCTCCCCGGGGGTTTAGAGTTACCATGACCATAACTCAATGCAGACCCAGAGAAACATATATATATATATATATGTATATACATATATATTTGTTAACCTCTCTTTCCCATCATTCTCATCCCCCCCATCTTTATTTCATGCCTGTTTTTCTGGCCTCCTTTGCTGTGTCCCTCACGTACTGCGCTGTCTTGAAGAGCCGCTTTTCAGCGCTCTTCTGTCTGTTAAGCTGACTACTGCAGAGCAGATTTCCACAGAATCAGTGTTCATCCTGCTTCTTCATCCTCTCCCGTGACCCACCTGTATCAGCAGGGGTTTCTGGTTGGTACGTTCAGACTAAGATCTTTGGGGTAGGAACCCCTGAATCGTCCTTGGATCTTGACTTAAAAGAATCCGTGCGGAAGCACCATGTGAAGCTACAGCGTTCATAACGCTTGTGATTGTAACCGAAGGCGGAAATGCAGGAGAACAGGACAGAACTAGCAACAGATTTTACGAGCAGACCTTTACATTGCTCTAACAAACCATTAGCGCTGATAAAGGAGTTTGGCACGGGAAAATCCTGACTATATTCAGTGGGCTGTGAAATGGCCCAGGGGGGTGGCAGGCGGGGTGGGGAGCAGTGCTAGGGTGGTGCTTCCTCCTCCTCCTCCTCCTCCTCCATCGCTTTGCTCCTGTTGTGCCCCCCGGCACTTCTGGGTGTCCCAAGCCTGATATTGCGGGAAGTGGAAATTTTACCTTTTTATTCAAAGGTAAACTTCTCTTTAAAAAAAAAAAAAAAACAAAAAACTGACCAAACGACAGACCCCCGCCGCGAGCCGGGTTGCTGCCACGATGGTGGGCGAATGCTTCGTGGCCCTGGCGCGAGGGTGTGAAACGCGGTGGTGCGTGGCAGGATGGGATGGCGGAGGCAGTGGGCTAAATCTGAGTTTTCGCATGCCAAAAAATGAAAGCGTATTTCTCAGCTGGAACTTCAAGGCTTTGAAATGCGTTATTGTTTGTTTGGGATGAGAATGTCCTTCAAGTCCTACAACCGTGCAGCAGAAGTTTTAAAATAGAAACCAAATCCGGAGCGAGGCACGTAATCTGTTTTTGCTCTCTGGTCTTTTTTTCCTTCGATTTTTCTCACCGTTTCCGGCCCCGCGCAGCCCTGGGGTTGTGAGCAGTGCAGTCCCCGGGGTGTCACGGTGGGTGCCGTCCCCCGGCCACGGCGCCCTTGCCCGAGCCCTGGCGTTGCGCGGCCGCTCCTCCTGCCTGCGCCCGCCGGGGCCTAGGGCTCGCTCCGCAGCCTGGAAGCGTCTTTCCGTTCGTGACTCTTAACGTTCAGCAGAGGATGGGGTTTCTCGGCTTCAGCTGATCTCTTCGGTGGCAGCTACCGGCGTGACTCTGGCGAGCGCTGGGCATGGTCCGGACCCAGGGGCTC